AAAATAAATTTTTTACTAATTAAAAATTAATGTACTAGATTAAACATTTTTCAAAAGTTTGGGGGGCGGCTGCCCCCCATGTCCTATGGTAGCTCCGTCCTTGCCTGAGAAGATTAAAGAAATAACTTACAAGAGTTTTATTTATATATATATATATATATATAATATCATAAGTCCAAAAAAATAGTCAAACTAAACGACATGTAAAATTATATGAAAAATTGTGAAAAAAAAAACACGTCTCTTGGCTACAGTATCTTCCTCATCATAGTACTAAGTGAAAACTGCCTTCCCATACATTACGAAGGAACCTGCCCACATGGTGCCAGTGGCCTAGCTAGAAATTTTTTAAGGGGAGCAAAACAAAATTTTAACAAAACAATAAATAGTATGTTTGTTGAAAGAAGTTTTTTTTTTAATAAACAAAAAAGATAAAATTTATTAATTTTTAACAATAAACTAACTACATTAATAATGTAGTAAAATACCATCCATTGCATAAACACAATAAATTAAATGGTAGCACAAATAAAAAAAGAAAACAAAAGAAAGTTTATTAATGAAAATACACTTTGTGAAAGGTAATAGCTACAGTGGATGAGAAAGGGGAAAATGGCACACTCACTGCAGAAGACATTGAAAAGAGGAAAGGCTGTTTCATAGAGCTGTGGAGGAATTTAAGAATTAAGGAGAGTGTGTGGTAACAAAAATCAAGAAAGATGTGGCTAAAGGAGGGGGATGCAAATACAAAATTCTACCACAGTTGTGTGAAAGGTAGATAGAAAAGAAACGAAATTAACAGCATCCAAATTAATAATAAGCAGCTTGGGGTGGTGGCTGAGATAAGAGAAGAGGTGGCAAGCTACTTTCAAGGTTTATTCACGGAAGAAATGTGGTAGAGACCAAGGCTTGATAGCATTAATTTTAATTAGCTATCCTAGACAAACTATGAGTCTCTTACGGCTGTTTTCTCTAAAGAAGAAATCAAAAATGCAGTTTGGGATTGTGATTCGACAAAATCCCCTGGTCCAAACGGGTTCAATTTCAGATTCATAAAGGCCATGTGGAAGGACATAAAACAGGATATTATCAGTTTCGCTTAGGAATTCCATGAGCGTGGGAAGCTTGCGAGAGGATCAAACACTTCATTCATTGTTTAATCCAGAAAGTTGAAAACCCCTAAAGAATTGAGGAGTATAGACCCATCTCACTCATTGGTGTGATGTACAAGATTATTGAAAGCTGCTAGCTAACCGCCTCAGAAAAGTACTGGATAAGATCATCGACGAACAACAAATGGCGTTCATAGGAGGTAGACAACTGATGGATAGTGTTGTGAGCGCGAATGAGGTGATTGATGGGGCAAAGAGGAAGAATATAAAGAGCTTTCTATTCAAAGTCAACTTTGAAAAAGCTTACGATAAGGTCAGCTCGGATTTTATTGATTACATGTTATGGAGGATGGGGTTTCCGGTCACATGGAGAAAATGGATAAGGGAGTGCTTGCAATCAAGCATGATCTTAATTCTTCTTAATGGAAGCCCAACAAGATAATTCCAGGTCAGCAGAGGAATAAGACAAGTCTGCAGTGGAGAAAGAGCTATATAAAGGAGTGAAGATAGGGAACGGTAGTGTGACGGTTTCTCACCTTCAATATGCTGATAATACAATATTTTTCGATGAGGCATAAGAAGAAAATATACTTGCAATCAAAGGCATCATGAGGACTTTCAAACTAGTCTCAGGGTTGAAAATTAACTATGGAAAAAGTCAGCTAATGGGTGTCGGGATTGAGGACAATAGGAAGAAGAAGATGGCCTATAGGCTATGCTGCAAAGAGGGGGAACTTCCTTTCAAGTACTTGGGAATTCCAATCAGTGGGAATTATAGAAAGCTAGCAATGTGGCAACAACTAGTGGATATTTTTAAAAAGAAACTAGCAAGCTAGAAAGGTAGACACTTATCTTTCGGAGGTCGAATCACACTCATAAACTCTGTGTTATCCAGTCTACCTGTGTTCAAGATGTTAGCCTACCAAATACCTAAAGGTATACTCTATTCTCTTAATAAAATTCGTAGATGTTTTTTTATGAGGGGGGCGGGGGAAGAGTTAAAAAAAACCAATTGGGTTAAATGGGAGAGGGTTTGTAAACAAAAGAAGTATGGAGGACTAGGAGTGACGGACTTGAGGAAATTTAAATTGGCATTGATGGGAAAATGGTGGGGAAGGCTTGCAAATATAGAAAAGGGATTATGGAAGAGGGTCATGGAAGGGAAATATGGACAGAATGGGAGCCATTGGCTGGATTGGGTGCGAGATGGCAGAAATGTAGGATCCTTATGGTGGAGAGATGTAAGAAACCTCAATGTGGGGGAAGGGCCAAATGGGGGGTGGTTGTCATCGGGTTTTAGGATGAAGGTAGGAAAGGGGAAAGATGGGAATTTTTGGTGGGATGAGTGGTATGGGGAGGTTTGCTTGGCTAATAAATTTCTTAGATTATATCTCTTATCAACAGGGAAGGAAAACAAGTGCCACCAAATGGGTAAAGACTTCAATGGCACATGGAAATGGAACATTGCATGAAGAAGAACTTTGTTCGAGTGGGAAGAGGAGGATGCAAAGGAACTTAAAAGGATGATTGAGAATGTGACGATCACACCAGGTCGACTCGACAAATGGGAATGTATTCACAGCAACGATGGTCAATACTCAACAAAAACGGCTTACTCGATGTTAGTAAAACAAAGAAGAGAACCAGAGGAAGCTGTAATATTCAAAAGAATATGGAGCAAGATTCTCCCAAGAAAAGTTGTAGCTTTCAACTAGAAAGTAATGCTTGACAGAATTCCAACCAAGATAAAGTTGCTCAAAAGAGGAATTGTCAAAGATATAGAAGAAAGGAAGTGTGTTTTGTGTGAGAATGAGGCTGAAGACTCTAACCACTTGTTCCTGAACTACAATATAGCTAGAAGGTTATGGC